AAAAAAAAAAAAAAAAAAAACTGATAAAAAATGGACAAAGCAAGAATTCTACTCATCGGCTGCGGAGGAATTGGTTGCATGGCTGCCCTCAACCTCGAATTCGGAGGACAAGCTCAAGTTACAGCTGTACTGCGTTCAAGCTACAACATAGTCAAAGAGCGTGGCTTCACCATCAACTCTGTTGATCACGGCCAAGTTCGTGGCTTCAGACCAACTGAAAGTAGGTTGAGTTACACTGTAACTGTTACTTGTCAAAGCCCTGCTTTGTCTTCCTTTGCTGACCGTGATGCACAGTCCTATCAGATGTGCCTGATGTCTCCCAATCCGGCATCTCATTTGACTACATCATCTGTGCCACCAAGAATACCCCAGATGTATCTACACCTGTGGCAGATTTGATTCGTCCGGCTGTTACGCCTGGTCATTCCACCATCGTGCTCCTACAGAATGGGCTCAATATCGAGGTTCCTCTTTTGGAGGCATTCCCCGACAACATTATCCTTTCAGGAATAAGCATCTGTGGTTCATCAGAGCCTGAGTCCGGAACTATCGAACATAATCTACACGATGAGCTGCGTATAGGACCTTTTCGAGACGTGGGCGACGCTGCTGATCGAGCAAGAGACATTGTAGCTCGCTACAACGCAGGAGGACGATGTACCTGCCATTATGACTCAGACGTCGCATTTTCACGATGGAAGAAACTTCTTTACAATGCTGTATATAACCCGGTTGGCGCCTTGGCCAATCTAGATACCGGTGACATACAACTATGTCCTGGTCTTGTCGATGAGGTTGTACGACCTGGCATGAGAGAGATTCAAGCTACTGCGGCTGCTTATGGGCAGGAGATCACCGATGAGATGATCGAATCTACCATTACGACCGAGCCTATAGAGACACATGTTCCGCCAAGCATGTTGGTAGATGTCCGAAAGGTAAGTGTTGACCTCGCGCATCGATGTCTGCGACCTACTTACTGACATACCTGCAGAGCCAGTACATTGAGCTTGAAAACCTCATCGGCGAGCCCCTTCGTTGCGCAAAGGCTCGAAATGTTGCAACTCCCATTCTGCAGAATCATTATTCACTGGCAAAAAGCTACCAATGGAAACTCCAGACCAAGAGAACAGCCTGAGCAGCACAGGTAGGGGACAGAAGAATTGTCCTCTAAGGGTTAGGCTACTATAATAAAGTAGCCTAAGTGCTAGTCTAAGCTGATATAAAATGACCAAATTATTTCGTCTCTTATGCTTTTGGGGGGCAGTTCTTCTGATACGCTGAAGTCAGACGCTATTCTGGTGGACGAAGAGTCGTTTGCATATCCTCCAGATGGCCCCTAAAGAGCGACTTCGACGAGTTAAGTGAGGCAGTAGGCGATAAGGAATGCCAATCCCCTTGCTACAAAGAATACATATGAAATTGAACTGTGCGCTTTATTGGCTTGGGAAATGCAAGCAGGGGTTCAGTGAAAGCCGCATATGTTCTTCTAACAATGCACCATTCCAAGACATAACACTGGAATACCGACCGCCAAGCTGATGCACCCCAGTTGTCTTACTGACACAGTTTCTGTATACCATAAGCTTGGTTGTTTAACCGAAGTCAACATATCTGACCCATGATGTAGCAGGTGACTCGAGTCATCCGTGGAGAATCGTAACCAGGGCTCAATCGGACCTGGATCGTAGCATTATAAAGTTATACTATCATATATCCTCCCCATCTTCCCACAAACCGCACCACCCATACCATTCGTCCCTTTCTTTAATTAAAAAACGAGCTCCAATTTCTCTCTCCAAGACGCCGAGTTATTCTACTTCATATCTTTCCCTTCACCTTCCCTTCCCTCCTCTCCCTTGTATGCGTTGTCTACCGGGGGTTGCGACGGAACGGTTGAGGTGGTACTATCATTTCATGTCGTCTGTTGTACAATGCCAAACCGAGGCAGAAGAAGAAATCGTCATTCGGGGCTTAATCCTGGTTGACGGTTTGCTGGAAACATGTTAGCTTTCTTGGTTATCGTTGGGGTCGCCTCGGGGCTACGCACCACAAGCCAATCCATGCCCTCATTCACACCGCTACCGTCGACCGCCGAACATGCCATGATGCTCCAATTGCGGTCGCGGAGTTCACCAAGACGCAGCGCCTCGGAAATCTCGCCCGCGCCCTTGGCGCCGGGCTGATCCTGCTTGTTGGCGAAAACCAGTAGCGCTGCATCCTTGAGTTCCTCCTCATTCAGCATGGCCGAGAGCTCCTCCGAGGCCGTATGTAATCGCTCGATATCGGTAGAGTCCACGACGAAGATGACAGCTGCTGTGTTGGCATAGTAGCACCGCCAGTATGGTCGGATGCTTGTTTGACCACCGAGATCCTGCAAAGCCGCCTGCATTAGTATCTACTGGTGTATTGCGAAGCTGGAGCGGTTCGGGTTTCGTACCCAGACATTGAAGTTGAGGTTCTTGTATGTGACAGACTCGACGTTAAAACCGATCGTAGGTATCGTTGTGACGACCTCGCCAACCTGGAATAACCGGTTAGTCTATATCGTATGCGCGCAGGAACTGAAGCGGAACGGACCTTGAGTCGATACAACAGTGTTGTCTTGCCTGCGTTATCCTATGATGCCGTCTCGTTAGCGTCTCGGAACAGACGACCGCCGGACAGACGTCATCCTACCAGGCCGAGAATCAATATTCTAATCTCTTTTTTCGTGAACAGTAGGTTGGAGAACCATGACATCGAGTTGCCCATGATGAATAAGATGTATCGTTTCTTTCGCTATTATGCTTCCGTGGTATCTTGTGCAAGTTGATTCGTTTGGATCTCGCTCGTCTCGTATAGTACTAGCACCGGCTGGACAAAGAAGAAGAGGACGGGAGAGAGAGATACGTGGTAGTTGGAGCCGTCAAGTGTCGGTCAAGGTCCAAGTTTGGTTTATAGTTTTGTCGTGTCTCGTGGCAACAGATCCAGCTTATGTTTAGTAAGTCGAATCAAGTCAGTAGAAAAGTTACAGTACGGTAACGTAATTTAGAGATCCCCTTTTCTGGACCTGTAAGTTAATGCACCTGGGCCTTTGATGGACAAGTTGCTCTTTTTGGCGACATGGGGTTGGTCCAAGCGCTTGACAAAATAAACCGGTCCACTGGGCCTCAGCCTTGAACCCCGGTACGTATACTTTATCTGGACATACACCAGGGGATGATAGGTGTTGCATGCTCGACTCCTTCATGATTCAGTCACCGACCTGTTCAAGGCATTCAACGTGGGAACCTTGGTCGTATTCACTTGGTTCATAGCAAACTCTGTCATCAAATAAAAGGTCTTGTTATACAATAGGTACCTAGGAATGTACAATATGTCTTACTGTATTTTCATTATATACTATCAAACCACCCGAACATATGGCAACCCCTGGATGACAGCAACTCCGTTAGGAATGCTACAGCATGATGCTCTCAAAGAAGTCGCCTGAGACAGAGGCGTTCGTCTAGATGGCTGACAATAAGCCACCCATTAAGCACATCTAGTTGTGTCCTACGCTTGACAATGTTAAGAAATGAACCTCTCCAGCCACAGACGATCATCATATTCATGATCATTTTGTTAAACACCATTTGTCATTCTCTCTTGTGAAAGATTCACGAGGCATCGTACTGTACTGTAACGAGTCCCTTAGACCCATATCCCTGCTCCGAGCTAATTTTGTCATGACCCCAAGCTAAGAGAGTCACGAGCCAAAACCAAAAAAAGGGCGCTGATCTCAGCAGAATCGACATCACTAAAACTACAGCCTCAGGCACTAACCTCTGTTTGCTACGCCACAGCGTTTAGCCACACTAGGGCTTTTACACCCTCCATTTGTGCGCCAAAATTCTTAGACGTCTGCAACCTACTCATTCAGACTTGATCACCATTTGGCAACGACCGACTCGACCATCAACGCCGTCACCATGCCGGTATGGACAACCCCTACCTATACGCCCTCGAAGCTCGCACGCACGCTCTATCGCTCTCTTCATTATCGATGATGTTGTATCGACTGAATACTTGATTTTTCTCCCGCCGCGTCACCGTTGATAATGAGGTTGATGATGATGATGAAAAGGCTGCGATGCGTCGAGGGTTTTGCTCCCACGACACCCGATCGCTAATGCTTCTTCTCCTACAGAGCCACAAGTCTTTCCGAACCAAGCAGAAGCTTGCCAAGGCGCAGAAGCAGAACCGCCCTGTGCCTCAGTGGATTCGCCTCCGAACTGGCAACACCATCCGGTGCGTTTAATCCCTTTTTCGCGCAACGACGACTACGATTTCGCCTACCGCACCCCCAACGAACACAAAGGAAACATTTCACTAACATTGTTCAACAGCTACAACGCCAAGCGAAGGCACTGGCGCAAGACCCGCATCGGTATCTAAGCAGCTTCTTCTCAGCCGCTGCCCACCCCCAGCACCCGACTTTTTCTCTCTTGGGCATGGTATCACGATGACGTTAAAGGAAAGAGGGGATTGATTTGTTATGGCGTGAACTATGGGACCGTGTCGTTGGCGTACGCGCACACGCACGGTGGGGATGGGCTGGTTGCCTGGTTTATCGATTATTGCGGTTACTGCATGTCACGAACGGTCATAGGGAAAAAGGAATGCAAAAGATCTGATGCCCCCAAAAGAAACGGGCCTGAACTACACAGATGTTGACCACTTGATTTGTGAACCGCAAAGGGAGTGAATCTGTCCTGCCGTCTTGATGAGCGGCTGACTGTACACTCTAAGATGCTGATGCATTCTTAAGTAGCCGAATTAACTCGCGTCGCGTCCTAAACTTGAATAATATCATGAATGCCCACTGTGACAAGTCATGCCTAGATGATGTTCTATTACGCCCTCAATCATTATGAGCAATTGCGAGACCGAAAATGATGGGAAATATGCATTCAAGTCCTATTGAGACCGAAGCTACGTTCTATCTGCCAGCGATAAGTATCTAGCTAGACCTTGCTTCGATGGAACTTGCGGTGATCTCTAGAGGGCAGGCTCAGCAAGCCCTCTTCGTCGATCAAGCATGCCAAAAACCCTGGCCAAAGCAATCCAAAAAACCAAAATCTAACGCCTGATGCGGTCCTTATGACTCATAAAATTCATGCGGTTCAGGTCTGCGTAGCCACAACGCGAAAGAAGCTTGGCAAACCATCTGGGCATCGAGGTGAACTGATGCCCCTCCGACCCTCCCTACTTTGTTCCGTCGCAAGATGTTTAACGGTCCTCGGCCCACTCGTTCTCACGGCGGATCTGCTCCTCTTCCTCGGGGGTGAAGTCGTTGGTGATGTTGAATGTCTTGCGGATCTCTTCTGGCGACTTGCCCTTGATCATGTTGGCAACGGTCTTGCAACCGACGTCGAGAAGAGGCTTAATGTCCAAGTAGTTGGAAGCCTGTTGTTGTATGTTAGCATCTGATCTCTTGTTAGGAAAATGGAAAGTAAACGTACGAGAATGATTTCGAAGAGCATCTCCTGGTCGACCTGCATGAACTTCTGGTCCCACTCCTCGATATCCGTAGTCTTCTTGCGGGCGTCGGATTCATCATCCTGAGCCTGGGGGGGATCGTTTCGGTGGTACTCGCACCACTCAATAACCTTGCGGAGGACGGCCTCGTTGACCTAAATGATGACATGTCAGAAATGGTCGCAAAGAAACAATGATGTAGGTAACTTACGTTAGGAATAGGAATAGGGTTGCTCTGAGTGATGGACTCATCGCCAACATCCTCGAGCATGTTCTTGATCAGCATTGATCGTTCGGCAACGACACGGTCTATTGGTATTGTTAGTAACTGATGGGCAAAAACGTCACAGAGTGGCGCTACTTACCGACTTCAATGTTGGCGCTATCGTTGGAGGCCAGCCAGACCTTCTGAGCAGGGGCACTTTCAGACATTTTGAATGTGGTTATAATGGATTCTGGGAATTCTGGATATGTGAGCGTGAGTTCTGAGGGCTAAGAAAGGGCGAAGTGATGTTGGTTGGAGTTTTGCTTTGGGTGATGATGGAAGTTGGAGGAATCTAGTGAGGTAGGCTGGTAGGTTAGGTAACCAGCCTGCTAGCCAATCTCTGAGGGGCGGGGTCTGTCGGAGACTCGGGCGGCTGAGCGTGGGGCTGAGCTTCTAACCAACGACGTACCTTTTGGGGTGCAGGGCTGCGATTCTAACGAAGGACCCTTTGTTTTAAGTGCCTGGGGCTTAGTAAGATGTCGAGATAGACTAGACGGTTGATGTTGATGTTGATCGATTTGTGTAAAGTGTGGGCGTCGATTGCTGCTGAGATTGAAGATGTTTGGATGTTTGTGAGAGAAAGATGAATTTCGCCTTATTCATGCGGGAGGAGAGGCAGTCCTTTATACTATGAATTTAAGTACAGCACGGAAGCCTGCTGCTGTGGGGTTGGCCTGCTGCTGCCTTCAGAAAATCAGCTCAAAGAACGTTAAAAGAGTCAGGACTGAACCTTGCGCAGTCGAGGCGTGCAGTCGATTCTTGCGCGCACAAAGAAACCATATTCTTAACAAAGTGCAAGTGCCAGTGCAGAGCCTCGGGAAAGCATCACTGCTCCTATTGCGCCACGCTTTCTTCTTTGAGATCTGACAGCCACTCATTAAGGCAAATAGCATGGCGCGAATCAGGCCGGATCCAATGTGATGGAGAGTTATGTATACTCTGAACAAAGGACCACGATTTCCAATTACTTCGGTAGCAAACAAATTTAACTACCAACCTGCTATCAGACACTCTCTGGGTGTGAACTATGTTGATAGTAGATACGGCACTTTCATACATTAATAGAAGCTTAACGGGTGTGGGATAAGTTGCTTGCTAGGAATATATCAATCGGAACAGTACCTAGGTTTAAGCTTTCTCCAAGGTTGTTTGCTTTCTGATACTCTAAAGTTTCAAACTACGTTTTCATCTGCTGAGTGGAATAGATGATATTTATTTCAGCCCTCATTCTTTTTGGTTGTCACAGCTGTTCGAGTGTAAACATTAGCATTGTACGACATGGTCATTTAGATATGTCTTCAGGCCGGTACTAGAATTCCTAAGTTTCGGCGAGGGAGAGCCGGTGCGTCTACAAGGTCGAAGCAGTATGTTTTTAAGATGTTGGTGTTGTGAAGGCGGAAACGAGACCAAATTCATGTATTGAACTTGAGGCTTATCTCCCCTTGTCTCGGAAGTATTTTTTGTTGAGATTTCAAGATATCGCAAGATACCATTCATTGTTCCATGACAAAAGCTCAAAACGGTGGGGGATACAATATCCCTGAGCTTGATGACATTCCTGCTGTTGCATCATACGAACTTTGTCTGAGTGCATCTATACTGCAAACACAAGCAGCAGCAGGCTTTGTGTGAATCTTGACTGAACAGCAAAGTGCGCCAATAGACTTGCACAGCCCAGTCCATGAGCGTTCACAAAGAATAGAGGCGGTATTGCGAGTCAAATGGTGCTATGCAGGGTCGAATCATGCAATAATAAAGCGGTGATGACATTTCTAGGTCAAACAGCCACCACCTAAGCCTTGAGACCGAGTAATTGAGCCCATCTTTCCCGTCGTTCCATCAGATAGAGCATAGGTGATGAAAAGAGGTATGAATGTCTGACGCAAGTATAGGTCGATATTTACATGATTGAATACAGTTCAATGCGGTAGTGCAATAGTATCCGTACTCGAGCTCGTTCATGGATGTTTTCTTGCAGAAGCATCATGCGATTCGTTTACCCTTGACTAAGGTACTCTACGGCTGAGCCTTGAACGATTCGCGGGGCGGAAAGAGAGGACATTAACTTCCATGACCAACACGTGTTTACAGAGACGGAGGCCTACAAGCAAAAACAGGCTAAGCCGTCTACAAGGACAAGCAATTAGGTCATGATGGAGAATAGGATGTGGTGTAATTAATTAATTCTTCTCCAGTTGCAAGATTACCATCGTCACGGTAATTGCTGCAAGGTCGGTGGCTGTTAACTGGCGAATCAACAGCCACGGCTCTTAGATCTTTGATTGCAAGAGGCCTAGCGTAGTTCAGGATGAATAAGAAGCTCCATACCTACCATCCACAAAGAGAGGAGAGCTCACAGCTTCTGGTAGTTTTTTATCCGTAAAGGTTGCATCTTCTGGCGTTATAATTAACTTTCGGTTGCCGTGGCACCTTTTGATGTTTCGGATATTGATAAAAAATACAAATGGATATTGACAGGTTTCAGCCGTGTTTGTTGATTAATATATGCTTGCTCAACAGTTTACAAACAGGCAAGACAATCACATTAATTAAGTACTTAGTACTTACCCGACAGCCAGGTCTGATTCAAGGCCAGACCCAACTTCAGGAGGCCCCCTGTCTTGCCCAGTTCCCGCCCGTCAGTGGCATCGTCCAGGTCAGGGAGCCCCTAAAGAAAAAAAGCTTCTAGCGGAGCTCGACTGCTCGGGCACCTCATCATCCCTTCCCCTAGACGCAGCCAAGGTCCCATCGGATTCAGCTAGCGCTGTCCATCCCGGGACGCGGCGTCTTCTCCCACTGGCCACGTTGTAAGCTGGCGCTTGCCCTTGGCCTGAAATGTTTCCCCTGGAGCCCTGGGCCCTCCGTGCGTCGAGCCTCTCTATGCTGATCCATGATGAGATTTGATCCTGGATCCATGAAGGCATGAGGTGAGGTGAGTCGTGGTGTGGTGAGTGGTGACAGACTGACTGCATTCTATCAGTGGGGGGCGGGCGTCACCTTCAGAGGTTCCATGACTTGGACTTGAACTTGACCTGAATTTCGAGCTCCATACCTAGACCTTTACCTTTTACCTTTTTCCCCCTCTACACCTACATCATCTACCCTTATCCCTCCCCATTTCTTGTTTTCATTCATTCCTTGTCCCTCTTCTTCTTTTTCTTCTTCTCATAAGCCTTCTCAGCGTTGGGGCCCTATCTTGAGTACCTATACATACATCAACCTAATAGACGGCCCATCTCTCTTCTGCCACAAAGACAGAAAGCAACTGCAGGACCACGTAAATACTTGCGCCTACGATCCGATCTTACCATCACCTCGAGTCTTTTGTATTCCAAACCGACCCGATTCTTGAACCACCTCCCCACCTTCTCACCTGCGACACTCTTGCGCCAGCTATCGAATCGACTCTAAGCGCATTGCGGATCGACAATCGTGCTCCCGCCCTACCTTGCGATTTACTCTTGCGGATGCTCAATGCCTTTGCGCCTTGACACTAAGCTCATGCTTGCTTTCTCGGCTTTCTACTGCTAAGACCAACTATGTGGCGGCGCACATATCTCACTCTCGTCCTTATCAGGCTGTGGTTTGCGCTATCACCCAGCTATTTACATCCAGACGAGAACTTTCAAGGCCCTGAGGTCATCGCTGGTATGTTTTCTTGCTCACAAAATGCCGGGTTACGGCGCATAGCAAAGGACCGTGTGCTGTGCATTTGGCATGTGCCCGCGATCCACATACTACCATTGTGCTGCTGCAATTTCAGTCACTGACTATTGTGATCAGGCCAAATCTTTAGCTATCCCGTGCGTCACACATGGGAATTTACGAGCGAGAACCCTATCCGAAGCGTCTTCCCACTATGGCCCGTCTATGGCCTCCCCATGCTACTTCTCCGGTGGCTATGGATCGGCAACGGACAGGACGGTGAAATCCCACCTATTGCGGTATTCTGGACTTTGCGCGTTCTTATGTTCGCCATCAGCTTCGTTCTTGAAGACTGGGCGTTGCACGAGTTAATCCCGTCACCGAGGCATCGCCGTGTTGCCGTTCTCCTCGTCGCATCGTCCTACGTGACATGGACCTACCAAACACACACATTCTCCAACTCGGTAGAAACGCTTGTTGTTGCGTGGAGTCTTGTTCTGATCCAGCGAGTCGCTGATCCACGGGTTCGTGACTTGCACACCATCACCGCTAACAGGGATATCAGCTGACAAAATTCAATCCACAGCAACAGTCATGTGTTTTATCTGCCACAGTACTTGGAATAGTCGCAGTGTTTGGTGTATTCAACCGAATCACATTTCTAGCATTTCTTGTTGTCCCAGGCCTTCGATTACTCCCAGTCTTCTGGAAGAGGTGAGTCACCTATTTGCGCTGGGCGGGGAACGCATGCACATGCTAACAAATTGAAGGCCAACGTCTCTCGTATGCTTAACCTTAGCTGCAGCAGTGACAACTGTCATTGCAATCGGTCTAGACACCGCTTTCTACCTTCCAGATTCTGTCACATGGACCGACTTGATCCACAGACCAGTAATCACCCCTCTCAATAACTTCAAGTACAACTCAGCGACAGAGAACCTGGCCCAGCATGGCCTTCATCCGTGGTACCAGCATTTGGTGGCAAACTTGCCGTTGTTGCTGGGCCCAGCTTCTGCACTGCTCATAATCAACCCTAAATTCTCCATTCGACTCTGGTCTGCAGTGTCTGGGCTGGTTGTTTTATCGGCGTTCCAGCATCAGGAAGCGAGGTTCCTGCTGCCAACAGTACCACTATTTCTGTCGTCGATCCGAATGCCTCGAAACCAAACTATATTATACGTTTTCACGGCTGTGTGGATCGGCTTCAACCTTATCCTTGGCTCGTTGATGGGTATCTACCATCAGGGAGGTGTAGTGCCGGGCCAAGTCTTCTTGAGTCAGCAACCAGATGCCACCCAGGCGATCTGGTGGAAGACTTACACGCCACCCATTTGGCTTTTGAATGGTAAAAATGAGTTTTTGACAACTCGAGACGTTATGGGTCTCAAGGGTGAATTGCTCCTTGAGCAACTCAGCGAACTCGCTACATGCGACACCCCAGCCGACAGACGAAACCAGGAGTATCTGAAGGAGAAAAATGGTACATATCTTATTGCTCCAGCATCAGCAACTTGGCTTGATC